AAAGCGCTTGACGCCCTTGCAGCCTGCTGAGACTGAAGCACACAGCCGGCTAGAGAAAAAACAAGATGAAAGAAGATCCAACTTTTTTGTTGCTCTTTGTTTTCTGATTTTTCATGGCTACCAAGGCCAAAAGCTTTGGGCGCAGCAGCTGCGAAGCAACAGCATGCGAGCTTGCCCTGGCAGCTTGCCGCTTTGTGCAAGGCCAATGGTGAATTGCAAGACTTCACAAGACACCAAGTATTATAGCCATAGCATTCAGATTCTGCCCTGGCGAGGCAAAAGCAAACTACACGGGATGCTCCCAGCAACTCAGTCTGGGGTGCTTTGCCTTCAGGCTCCCACTCTGACTGCTTCTCTACGCTGTTTTCGCCAGATCATGTGCGGCGCCTGCTTGTTTCCGTATCCTGCGACTATTGGTACATACTGGTACGATATGTGTCTTCTCTAGTGCGTCTTTGGGTCTTGCCAAACTGCAGTGGCAAAACCAGCAATTGACACGGTCACGCTCAATAGACTCAATAGATCAGAGTTTTTTTATGCAGAAGGCTGGTTCATTGCAGAATCTGATGTTCGTTTGTAGCGCAGAGTTCGTCGAGCGCAGCAGCAGCAGCAGCAGCGGCGCTGAATAGAACAAATTGTTTAACAAGAATGAAAAACACAAAAATGATAAATAAACAATATTGTCGCAGAAATGGGATGGCAGATGTATCAATGAACCTGTGCAGCTGATCAAGCTGCTAAAGACATCAAAAGACTCTCTCGCTGCGAAGTCTGTCTGCAGTAGTGTCCTAGCAGAAGTATTTGAGAACAGCAGGAAGGCCAGCGCAGCTTTGTCCAGCCAGGCCTTGGTGCCTTGCATTTGAACCCATCAAAGAGCACCTTGTTTCGAACCCACTGTCAAGAGGCTTCGTTGTTGTGTCACTGTGTTCCTGGTGCCGGGTCAGGGTTCCAACTTGCCTCCATGGCAAGGGAGTATGCGGGCACCTTTTGTTGGAGCTTTAGATTCATTCCTGTACGTGAATCTATGCTGCAGAGCTTACTGAATTTCTATCACTGAATCGGCTTCACACGAGAAAGTCATTAGTCACTATAAGTTACAGTAACATTTAACGCCAGCTTCAATTTAACAATAGCTTTAATTTGCCATTTGGCACATCCCACGCAGTCATGTTTCTTCCTTCCGGTTGCGTTTCTCTTCTTTGCTTTTTCTCCCTTCCTAGAGGCTTGTTAGGTGTAATCCTGGTTGTGCCAGATTCGAGGCTTCTTTGTGTGTTTCCAACGCACTGTTACGGAACACTGGCTCTCAGTTAATTTGCCGCTCGTGGTTGGAATGCACATACACAAAGTTATTTTTCCTTCCAGTTGCGTTTCTCTTCTAGAGGCTTGTTAGGCTGTAATTCAAGTTTTTGCTCGGAGGACACCAAGTCGTTTTTCTCCTTCCGGTTGCGTTTCTCTCCTCTGCTTTTCTTCCTTCCTAGAGGCTTGTTGGGCTGTAATTCAGTTTGCGCCGCCGGGCTCGGCTTCATTTTTGCTTCCAACACTGTTGGTGGGTCTCTATTAATTTGGCGTTCATTCGGCGCAACTGCTCGGAATACACCTAGTCATGTTCCTTCCTTCCAGTTGCGTTTCTCTTCTCTGCACGTATTTTCTCCTCCCTAATAGAGGCTTGTTAGGCTGTGATTCAGGTTTTTTGCAGGCATGGACTCTTTTTGTTGCTTTTCTTTTGTTTTTTTTCCCTCTCTCTCTCTCTCCTCTCTTTTCTAGAGCCTTGTCAGGTTGCGCCAACTCGGCTCGGTGTGTGTGTGTGTTACCCTCCGTTGCCAGGAGTTTGTTTCTTACTCAGTTCACAGGGGGCACGGCGGCCGTTCACCTAGCCGTGCTAACAAAGCTATGGTGTTCGGCTGGAAGAGACACTGGACGCAGTATCTTGTACCTGCAAATTTTTGATAGTAGTCACACTCAAACATTGTTGAACAATTCTTTTGAGCTGACTTTGCGCCTTTCCGTTCCATCTTTCCCTTCCTCGGGGAACAGAGTTAACTGAAAACCCAATGACTAAGTGTGTAACCCTTGGAGTCACAGGGATCCTGATGGATTCATGTTTTCTTTCAGCAGGGGGCCGGGGCCAGGTGGGGGGTCCGGGCAATGAAGACACCCCTTACCTGGGTGTAAACGTACGTACATTTGCGACAACACCCCACTCTTCCACCGCTGTGGTGTGTTTCCATGGTGTTTGCGCGATATTCCCCTAAACCTGGCTCAATTCTAATATATTTCTTGTGTGCTGCAGACCTGCCCGCTACGTCCTCATTTGTCGCCTCGGGATCGGCTTGAGCTTTTGGTCCCACTTCCGTTTTTTGAGGGCCGGCTTCGCTGGTTTTCATTTGATCTGGTCAGGGTTTGGGTACCCAGGTTGGCGTGTGGCAAACCGCATCCAATTAGTACGCATTTCCATAAGTGTGTCTGGCTTCATGCCAGCCCAGGGTGAGCCCGCAGAGTGCCCCCTGTGGACCCGTCGACCGGGGGTTTGTCGTTGTTCCCCCTGGCCGGGAACGTAGGTGTCCGAAGCGGACAGCAGTAGGCTTAAGCCAAGGGAATGGTGTTTTTTGCGACAGTAATCAGGGTATTTCCAGACAGTCATGTAGATCGGTGTTTTTTCGACCAGTCACCGGTGTTTTTTGCTACGGTGACTAGGTTCGGTGTTTTTTGCACCAGTCGTCTGGTGTTTTTTGCGACGGTTCCTCCTGGTCGCTGTTTTTTTGCAATGGTTCCCCGTGTGTAGATAGAGAGCTGAATCGGCCACAGTGGCCCGACCGTCGTTGCGTGTATGTATGTATGTATGTATGTCTGTATGTATGTGTCTATGTACGTATCTATGTATGTATGTGGGTTAGGGTTTAGGGTTTTCCTTTTGCTCTTTCTCCCTTTCTCTGTCTTTCTAAGGCTACTCAGGTAGATGTAACTCAGGCAGTGCCGGAATCGGCTTCAGTTCACCAGTACTGGTTCCTAACCGACTGCGGGCTTCTATTAACACCTACTTTCTCTCTTGCCCTCTTCCTTTTGCTCTTTCTCCCTTTTCTTGCTAAGGCTTGTTAGGTGGCTACGTAATTAGGTGTTTTGCACGCTTTTAGCCTTTAGGCCTTTAGCACGCTTCTAGCAGCGCCGGTTCGGCGCATTGTGTGTGTCAACAGCCGTTTCCGGGGTCTCTACTCTAATTACTTTCTCGCTTTTAAGTGTGTGTGTGTGTCCCACCCTGGACAAAGGGTTTTTCCACCACCTT